ACTGTTTACCTTTTGTACCGTTCGCTGGGAGACGCGAGGACGCGGCCTCGGCCCTGCCCAGGGAGATATATACTGCTTAGAGAAATAAACGATGCATCTCTTGGTAATTGAACCTCTGCCTGACTCGATCACTCGAATATAATCGGTACGAACGAAGATGAAGGGTGCCGATCGGTATCCGATGCCAGACGATCGCGGTACGACCGGAGAATCCTTTGCGTGGAAATGTGTGAGAATCGTTCGTCGATCGACTCCTCGCCTCGCGAATCGACGCGGGAGCGTCGCGCTGGAAATTAAGGAAATATTCCGCTGTCGGTAATCACGACTCGCGTTCGTTAAACGCGACTCGAGGACTTCGGCCGCCGGCGTTCCGCGTGGATTACGAGGCGAGGAGCCGAGCGAACGTCTTATACTTACTTTAATACCTTTGTAACTCTACAATTATACGATTTTCCAATCGCTCCGCTGTTCTTTCTTTCATACGGACCGCGAACGTAGGCGTGCTCACGACGAACATCGGATTCCTCGAGGCTCGCCGCGAGTTCAGGAGAAAGTGATCCCCGCGAGAGGAATTGTATCGAAATAAAAATCACAATTGACACGATGGGAACGAGTTTATTAGCCGTGCCCGCGAGGAACACGGTTTAATCCCTTCACACCTGATCTTCTAATACAGCTGACTCTCAATTTCTATTTCTATTTGGAATCTTAACGTTTCTCACTCTGGAATTTGCATATGTTTAAGTCTAGAGTCCAATATAGAGTTTTATTTACTCGAGACACTTGAGAAGCATTTAAAGTATTATGTCGAAAGATTGTTGGAATAAGTAAAGATTCGAGTGAAATTGAACGTCGAGTCTCGATATCTAAGACTACAATAGTTCAATATTCCGTTAGACGGTAAAGTAACGAAACAATGTATTTCCATTACAACGCACGTCAAGTCTGAAGGGTTTAATGCCAGTCAAACAATGCCCGAACTAAATAAGGCGGATTTCGTGCGCGAGGGCGTGTTCCTCGCGGCGTCGGCCATATTTCACGCGACGGGCCTAACGCTCGCGCGCCCACCGACCCGCCATTGTGTCGGCTTCGATTTTTATCGTCCGCGCCCGTTGAGAAACCCGCGCGCGAGGATCTCCGTGGGTCCGTCCCCCTGCTCGTCGCCGGTTTGAGGTTTTGTGATGAATCATCAGCCTTGAGACTGAGGATCCCGTTCAGCGTCCGAATAGTCGGGTTTCGAGCCGACGAACGGCGAATTCTCTCGCGAGGCGGACCGCGCGACGTCGAGAATAAAAACATCTCGAAACTGATTTATTCGGGCGCACGTTCTCTGCCGCGTGAATACCAGTTTATGGAGATTCTCCTCGTTTAATCGAAACGGCGAAATGTCACACGCAAATTTACGATTTCGTTTCGCAACATTTAAAACTGCGTTCCCGAGTCACTCCGAACACGAGAGATCAATTTAGGAACCCGATAAGGGAATCTTCCGATCAATTTTTTCGGGTCATTGCGTTCACGAATGATTTCTAAGCGAGCAGTCCCAGTATTTTCCAATTCAATGAACATCCTCTATACTCGATATCCCAACGATCGAAGCATCGATTATCAAAATTTCGCTGAGAAGCCCTCGAAGCATCGTTCATAATTAAATTCAGAACGCGACGGAGCAATTCGTCAACTTGATTTCGCTTCCTTGAGTCGATGTTTTTACTCGGCGAGCACAGGCCCACGAAATTCGCAGTCTAGACATCGATCATGAGTCTCGAGGTCTTCGGATCGCGTCAAAGATGAAATAAAAAGGAGGAAGAATGAAATCAGAGAGAGAGAAAGAGAGAGAGAGAGAGGGTAGGTCACAGCCGCGAGCGAATCCTCGCGGGTCGTCCCTGAGCCGAGACAATGGGAAGCGACACGAATCCTGACGACACAGTAATAATGAACTCCCTTGTTTCTTTCCGCGGCCGTTTTTCTCCCCTGACCCAAATACACGGTGTCGGGAACAATCGGACCCCGTCGCGACGAAACTTCGTAATCATTTCTTTCGCTCGTGTCTTGATACGCATCGGCGCACCGGGAAAAAAGCGAGGAACAGAGGAACGATAACGCGCCGGTGACAAGTCG